GTGGTGGACTGGCGGCGCTGGTGGTAGTGGTCGTGTTGGTGGGGGGCGCAGCTCGGTGTCGGGTGGCAATTCCAGTGTGGTCACCTGTCAGTACTAGCTTCAGACCGGCCCCCGCCGCGGCACAATCTGCGATCGTTCCGGCCACATCGCCACTCGTTGCTACCACCGCCTGGATGACCTCTTCCGTCTCCGCTTTGGTTCCACGTCAGACCCTCCTGACTGGTACACCATGGCGCGCCGACGTGTGCCTGTCTTTGAGCTTAACATGGATCGGATTAAGAATGCTATGTCTGTCATGTATGCTGATGACTCTAGTGTGATTGGGCCCTATTACCTGGTGTTGCCTAGCGTAGGTGTGACCCCTATGCGTAGTCTAGGCTCCCTTGCTACATCAAGCGTAGGGCCCCCTACCGTATTTAGCCTACGCTACTCGCTAGCCCCTCCGCCGGCGGACGCCACTGCTTTGCTCTCCTTTATGCTCGACTCTGGTGCGTCCGCTTGCTTCTTTCGCGACCACATTGCGCCCACGTCGCTTGCTGCCCCCGCCGCTGTAGCGCTTGTAACCCCTCCTCAGGTCCGGTAGTCGCCCATAGCTCCACAACCCTCCCCTGTCCGGCGGTCCCCTCGGGCTCTCTTACAGGCCTACACATCCCCTCGTTCTCCAGGAACCTAGTTGGTGTCGGCTGTCTTCAAGACCTCGCCGTCACCACTACATTCCCCCGACATGAGCGGTACGCGGTCTGTACCGAGGCCGCCACTGGTGCCCCTCTAACCATGTTCCCCCGAGACCCTGTATCTGGCCTATTTACGCTTAACACTCCACCCCCACTGGTGAGGGCGTTCCCTCAGGTGTCAACGTCGATCCAGGTTGTTGCATCTTGCTTGTGTCAGTCGCTCACTCACCCGTCACGTCTATGGTACCACCGCCTAGGTAGCCGCGCACTCCCGCGTCTACATCACATGTCCCATCACGGTCTTGTCTTTGGTCTTCGTGCGTCGCTCCGTGCCCTTCCTCCCTCGCCTGCACTGCCGTGCACGCCTTGCCTCGAGGGCCGGCTACGCTGTTCTCGTCACTCCTCCTCGCTTCCCTCTACCACTCCGCCACTCCAGACCCTGCACTTGGAAGTTTGGGGCCCAGCCCCCGTCCTTGGGCCACGTCGAGAGCGCTACTTCCTAGTGCTTGTCGATGACTACACGCGCTATACCACGGTGTTTCCCCTGGAGCAGAAGGCCGACGTGCTTGACACTCTTATCTCGTAGGTCGTAGTTGCGTGAGTCCACCACAGCCTCCCTGTGCTGCGTCTCCACTTCGACCGTGGCGGCGAGTTTGCCACCGGTCGGCTTGGCTAGTTCTGTCGTGCGGAGGGCATCACCCAATCGTACACCCTGCCGTACTCCCCACAGTAGAATGGGGTCACAATGCGACGCATCTGTTTGGTCATGGAGGTGGCTCATACCTCCATGATCCGTGCCGGTGCACCCCATTTTCTATGGCCGTTCGCTGTTCACTACGCCACTCACCAACTTATCCTGTGGCCGCAGTCCCAGCGGCCGCAGGTTTCGCCGACCCTCCTCTGGACCAGGTTCCCTGGTGACGCGTCAGCATTCCACGTCTGGGGCTGCCTCGCTCACGTCCGTGCCTCCGGCACGGACAAGCTCACAGCCCGCACTGTCCCCTGTGTCTTCCTTTGTTTCCCCCTTTGTCGCATCTAGCTGGCACTTTTACCTCCCGCCTTCTCACCACTTCTTTCACTCTCGTGCTGTCACTTTTGACGAGTCTGCCTCCTTCTACCACCGCTTTCTCCACCGAGGTCTCCTGGTTTCCCCGCCCCTGTTTCTGGTTCCCACTCCTCCGGTAACCCTAGCTCCTCTCCCTCCCCATCCTGTCCCACCTGGTGTGTCTCACGTCACTCCCCTCCCATTGGTGGTCCCGGTGGAGGAGTCCGCTGACTATGGGGGCCCCGCGGCTTCAATTTCGCCGGTGCTGGAGAGGGTTCTCGTTCTGGGGGTGCTAGTCCTAGGGCTCCTTTCGTGGCTTGTCCCGGCGTTCCTAGGGGTGGCACCACTGTTGGAGAGGGTTCTTGTTCTGGGGGTGTTGGAGTGGGGCGTTCGGGAGGTAGTCATGGTGCAGCTAGAGGTTCTGGTGTCGGTGTGGAGCAGCAGCAGCAGTCGCAGCCGGTGTCTGCCCTTCCCCTCCTCAGACTTCCCTCCCCTGACCGTCCGCGTTCGCCTCCCCCACCGCCGCCTCTCGTGCCTGTCTGCGGCCCAGTGTTTCCTCCGCCGGACTCGTCTCCGGCTCGTTTTTCCCCTCATTCCTCTCCTACGTCTCCTCCTCTGTCTCCTGACCTGACACCTTCGTCTTACGTCTGGTCTCGCCGTCCCTCCCGTGCTCATCCTGTCTCTCTTGTTCGGCGCCCTCACCTTATGTTGCTTCGTTCCCACGCGTCTCGTCCTCCCCTCATCCCGTCGCCTCCTCCGTCGTCTCTTGTTGTCACTCCGCCTCCTCTGTCTGACTTCCTTCGTGCCCCTAGTCCTCTTGTTCCTCGGGTCCTTGACTCCCTTGTTACCGACACGTTTGTTCCTGTCTCGAGTCTTAACGCGATTGTCGTTGCCGTCGTTGACTTCGCCTCTACCTGCCGTCTTTGACTACGCCACCGCTCTGGACTCTGACCCTGCCCGTCCTCCGTCCGTCGGGAGTGCTCCTACCCTTGGCAGTGACGTCTTGGAGGACCAGCAATACGAGCTTGCTTTCCTGTCCGAGGTCGAGCCTCATCTTTGCTCCATGCTGCTAGTCCCTGAGGGGGACCCAGATGCCTTTGACATTCCGACCCCTCACACTTACGCGGAGGCAACCTCGGGGCTCTGGGCCTCTCGGTGGATAGCTGCCATGGACGCGGAGATGGCATCTTGGAGATCCATCGGCACCTATATTGACGCAGTTTCACCATCTAGGGTGAACGTTGTCGAGGCCAGTGGCTCTTCAAGGTGAAGCGCCCTCCTGGAGAGCCGCCGGTGTTCAAGGCGCACTACGTTCCTAGAGGCTTCAGTCAGCACGAGGGTGTTGACTTCTTCCAGACCCTCGCTCCGACCCCTAAGATGACTACTCTTTAGGCGTTTGTATACATAGCAGCACAGCGTGACTACGAATTGCACTCTCTCGAATTCTCAACAGCGTCTCCTCAGAGGAGTCTGCACGAGCAGGTCTACCTGCATCGCCTGCTAGGCTTCACCGGCACCTTCGCCCCGGGGACCCAGTGGCTCCTTCGACGTTTGGTTTACGGCCTGCGCGCGAGTGGCACGACATGTTGCTTGCTACGTTAGCTGACCTGCAGGTCTTCCCGTCCTCAGCAGACCCCTCACTCTTCATTCATACTGGCCAGACCCCGTTCTACATCCTTATCTACGTAGATGGCCTGATCTTGCTACTGTAGACAGAGACGCACTGGCCTCCGTGAAGGCTGAGATACTGAGGAGACACACTTGCACTGACCTAGGAAAGCTGCGCCGCTATCTTGGCCTGCAGATCTCGAGGGACAGAGCAACGCGCACCATCACTCTCACACAGTCATACTTGGTGCGTCAGGTCCTTTAGAGGTTCGGTCTTCAGTTCTCCTCAGCACAGCTCACACATCTGCCAGTAGATTACAGGCTCTCGGCTCCAATACCTGGGGAGTCTGTAGAGCCTAATGGTCCGTACGCAGAGCTGGTGGGTTGCCTCATGTACCTGATGACTTGTACTCGTCCAAATCTCGCATACCCTCTCAGCATCCTGGCTCGCCATGTGGCCACAGGCAGACACCGACCACAGCACTGGTCGGCCGCCAAGAGGGTTTTGCGTTATCTAGCAAGTACATCGAGCATGGGGCTAGTGCAAGGAGGACTCAGGCCAGTGGTCAACAGGGCAGAGCGGTCCTGTATGCTGACAACAGGGTCATGATCCTCCAGTGTCAGGAGCCTCGACTGGAGGGCAGAGCGAAGCACATCCAGCTGCGGTACTTCCTGCTGCGCGAGCTACAGCAGCGCCGCCAAGCCCGCATAGTGCACCTGGCCTCATGTGCCAACACAGCTGATATCTTTACGAAGGCGCTTGCGCCTAAAGATCATGCGCGGCACTGTGTACAGCTTGGTCTAGTTCCTGTAGATTTTCACTTGCTAGGACCTTGATTGTGTAGTACTTTTATATTATCTTGACTGGCCGTGTAGCTCTTGTCCCAGTGGCTGGACTAGTAGTACTGCCCTGGGTTGCTCTTGTTTAGTTTGTACTCTTGCTGATTAGTCTTCAGACCCCTACCTCAGAGGTTGGACTAGTAGTGCCACCATAGCTGTGTGTCTCTTGCCTGGCATTGCCCCTCATCTAGCCTAGGGGGTGTGTCAAGCATATGATGTATATGTCTTATATGTTAGATAGGTGTGTACTCTTAGAGGGTACAACCCCTTAGAGAAAACCAACCTGTTTGCTTCATTCTAGTCAGCATTTCTCAATTTGATATGGGACCTGGGTTGTGTGGCCGAGCCTGGGCTTCCGAAGTTAAGGGATGTACGCAGTGTTAGCGATTCCTCGCTAAGGAAATGGAATTTCCTTACATTTGGCCTTCTATCACAGTTGAAATATACCAGGAGCACTATGTCGGGATGGTCCCACCTCCAGCATGGCGCACGTGACAGGGAGGGCAGGGGAGTCATGGATGGCATCTTTCGATCTGCGCCACCTCATCGTCGCCCATCCGCCCACATTTCGATCCTCGCATCCCTCCCTTCCCCCCAATCCAAATCCCTCGTTCCTCTCCCCTCCATCCATCCTCCCTCTCTCCCCACACCACATGAACAGTGCTGCGCACCAAACCCTAGCTGTTTGTTGCAGCAGGCAGCATGTTTCTCGTCGTGACTCGTCTCGTTAGTGGTTAGCTGGCCTGCTGCGCCTGACTGGTTGGTGGTTTCTCTCGGCTCCCCTCCCCATCTCGTCTCTGGTTGACAGCGTGGAGCAGCTCTGCTCCACCTCCTTCCTACTCGTTCTGCTTCTCTGCTGTCTCTCCGCCCCCATCGACCTACACAGCGTAACCTTAGCAGGATGCGACAACAGCCTTAGCAGGTCAACCCGCAACACACGCTTTAGATTTTACGACGTGAGTATTCGTGGTAGCACTTTTCATGGCGTGCCATCGTTGCCAGCTGGCATCCTATGCTGTCATCGCGTGCTCTCGTCACGTTGTGTTCACGCCGTGTCGCATGTTGGCGTGGCCTGGCGAACGCACAACGGTGGGCGTTAGATGCCGTTGACCGCCGCCGATATCGCCATTCTCTCGGGCTCTCTCGGATTTCTCCTGCGCGCAAAACGTGGTCTTTTTTCCCCCCTTTTCTGGTTCGCGATCTTGGCAGCGGCTCGTGTATCTATGCTGCAGCGTGGTTTAACCTCGCGGTCTCGCGTCAGCAACAGTCGCTAGCGGTACGACTCCCGTAGCTAATCTCCTTCTGGCTTTCGTTGGGCCCTGCCCCTTGCCCCTGTATAGCACTCGTCGTCTTTTGCTCACTCCCGCCTTTCCTTGGCGTTTCTTTCCCGTTCCACTCTCTTCTCGACTTTTCGATTCTGCAGCACCTTTTTACATTCCTCGTGTCTCATTCACGCGTGCACAGCAAGCACCTCCTACATTTCGTCGTTCTTAACCTTTCTAAGCGCTTGCTTTCTTCCCCCACATCGTTTGGCATGGCGCATCCATGTGCTCGCTTCGTTTTCCGGCTGTTCTCTCGCCCGTGCGCTCTCGCAGCAACGCCTGCCGTTCCGTTCTTCGACCCCTCCCTTCTCACCAGGTAGTGGCCGCTGCCTACGTCGACTCACCACCACCGGAGCCATCTGCCATCCCCTCTCCCCCTTCTCCTCCCCCAATGGACGCCTTATCCCGTCCGCCCGCCGCTCCCCTCCCCGCGCGCCGCTGGGTGGTGCCGCACAAGAAATGGGCTCTTCCCTCCGCCTCCCCGCTGCCCGCTTCCGCCTCCTACGGCTCCTCTCTCGCCGACTCCTCCTTGCTTTCTTCGCACGTCCCTTCGCACCCGTCGCACGTCTCCTCGCACCCATCCCACGGCGGCAGCTGGGCCAACGGGAGTGTCGTAGAGGGGAGCTGTGGCGCCGATCCGTCGCAACGAGGGCGGGAGCGAGCGGCGCAGGGATGGGCGAACGCGCGGAGCAGCGGTGGGTGGCAAGGCGGGGACGCGGCGGTGCCGGGGGGAGCGCCGGCGGATGCTGGTTGGCGGAAGCGGAAAAGGTAACGCACCAGAGAGCCGGTAACTGGTCTCGCTGCGGAGGAGGGAGGGAGGTTGGACGGGAAGGGGGGGGGGGGGGGGGGGTTGAGGGAGGGGAGGGGAGGGGAGGGGAGGGGGGAGGGATGTAGTCGTCTTTTCGTCTTGTCTCCTGCAAACAGCCAGCCGTCGTTTTTCTTCCGTGAGGCCACCGGCGCCCTTCCCTCGTGCCCTTCTTCGCACTCCTCTTTCCCCTCTCATCCCTCCCCTCTCCCCGCTCCTTCCCTGTTTCCCCTGCCCCCTATCTCCCCATCCCAACCACCCCCCCCGCCCCCGCCCCGCCCGTCCCCCTCTTCCCGCACCTCCTCTCCCCGTTCTCCCCCTCTGCTCTCATCGTTGCTCTCCCCGCCACCCCCTGCCTGCAGCCATCTCTCCGCGGCTGCGGACGACTCCGCCTGTCTGACGTCATCACACGGTGCCGACGTCCCGCCCTCCGCCCTTCCGCATCCCTCCCATGCGCCTTCGCATGCGGACTCCCCCTTCGCGCATCCCGCCGCCTCCCCCCGCCCGCCCGCCACCCGCTGGGACGTTCCTCTCTTCTCCGCCAAGCGCGCGTGCCTCGCGGCGGACCAGCGCAGGCCCGCGGAAGCACCGTGGGCGGAGAGACCCGCCGAAGGAGCCGCATGGGCGGAGAGACCGGCCGCGTGGGTAGAGGGGGCGCAAGGCCGGGAAGCCGCTGCGGCGGCAGCGGCGGTTGGGGGGAATGGGGAGGGGGAGGGGAGAGGCGGGGCGTGGCGGGCGCTGAGCGCATCCTCCGTGGATTTTGCGCCACAGCCCTTCCAGCCAACCACGGATTCCGCCGGCCGCGGAGCGCTGCTTGCATTCGCCGTGGGCGCGGCGCCGAGCCCGCATGGGGACGGGCGCGGGAGTCTCCATCATCCCGCGTCCTCCGCGCGCAGCATCGGCGCGTCCCTGGAGAGTGGCGCGCGCACGCGGCGAGGAGTCTGCGCGCGGGGCAGGAAGAGGCGGGGAGCGGAGGGAGATCTGGCGCAGCAGGGCTCGATGGCGGGGCGAGCGGGAGACGGGGGCGCGGGAATAGAGGCGGGCGGAAGGGCTGGCTGGGATGTGGCGCAGGGGGAAGGGGAGCAGAGCTCGTGCGCGAATGGGGGAACAAGGGGCGACGACGACGAGGAGGGGGGTAGAGGGGAGGAAGAAGCGGAGAGGAGAGAGGGAGGCGGCGCGGAGAGTGTTGCGCGGCCGAGGAGGCGGAGGCGGAAGGGAGGGCTGCTGGGGGTGGCGGAGGAAGGGGAGGAGGGCGAGGGAGCGACGGACTACCAGGCGTCAGCAAGTCCGCTAGCCTCCCTGGCTGAACCGTCAGCGCCTGGTGCGTCGGCGGCAGTGGGCGATGCGGCGAGACTAGACCCCTCCTCGCATGTTCCCGACGGCCGTGCGGGAAGCGCGTACCTGGAAGCCACTCGCAGCACGGGTGGGACTGTCGCGAGTGCCAGTGCGAATGGCTCGTCCGCTGACTGCTACTCGACCAGGGGCAGTAGCGCAGGGGAGCGGGACAGCACGGCAAGGGAGCATCAGCAGCAGCAGGGGCGGAGGCAGAAGGGGCGGCCGTTGCATGAGCTGGCGAATGGGGCGGGCGGCGAAGGGACGAGAGAAGCGGAGCGAGAGGCGGGCAGCAGCGTGGACGACTGGGGGGGCAAGCGGCAGAGGCAGAGGCAGAGGGCGGTGGAGGAGGAGAGAGGCGCGCAGGCGCAGGCGGAGGAGCGGGCGGAGGCGGAGATGAAGCGGCGGTTCAGCGTGGTGGTGCAGTCGCAGGTGGGGGGCGAGGGGGACGAGGAGGTGCCGCAGCACGAGGGCGAGGCGGACAGGTGCATGTCCGAGCACGTAGGGGCGGCCAAGTTTGTCCTGTCCTCTGGCCGCACGCTATCAGCAGGTACGTGATTTTTGCCTTGTTAGCTCTCGTTCGACACTGCACCCCCCTCCCGTCGTCCCCCTCCCCGTACCCTCCCCTCCCTCTCTTTCTCCCCCACCCCCGTCCTCTCTCCCCCCCCCTTCTCTCCTGCTCTCTCCCTCTGCATACGGGCATGTCTAAGTTGGCATCCCTGTCGCGATTGCCTGTCGTTTGTTCTGACGTGTCCAGCTTGCATTGCAACGTGGTGGGTCTAGAATCTACATGCCTTGATGCCTGCCTCGGTTTTCCCTGCCTCACGTGTCTGCATGACTCCCTTGATGCCCCCGGCTCCATGGGTGGCCCATCAGAGTGTCTACCAGCTGCCAAGAAGAAGCCGACTATCGACGACGAGTTTGAGCAGTACTTTGCGCAGCTGCTCTTGTAGCAGCTGTTGGAAATATCTCAAGGACTTAAGCGTTTCTGAAGTGTAACACTGTACTCGAGGAAGATTACAGGGGAGCACGCGAGTCAACGGAGGTTACACGAGGGGGCGGACAAAGAAAGCGAAAGGACTCGAAAGGTCGCAACTGGAGGTTGCGACTGACCGTTACAACATCACAGATGGTAACCGAAGCGGCAATCGAGTCGCTGTGCGACTCGATAAACCGCTCCTGTAACTGTATTCTACAACTGCTTTCTTATCTTCTATATATTGCTGTATGCTTGTTTCTTTAATCAATCACTTGTTCTCACATACTAGTACAAGGGTTCAACCGTCTCAACTTCCGCTGCACTACTCCAAGTCTCAAGTCTTTACAGCTGGGACTTAGTCTCTGCAAAAGATCCTAAGGGCTTTTCTCAGCCCAACATGGTATGAGAGCTGGTCAGAGACCAAAACTCCCAGCAACTACACTCCATCAACAACCAGCAACTCAACTTGATTCAACAACTCCATTGATTACAAGACATGGACAACAAGGGCAAGAAAGTCTCTACGGGCTCACCCAGCGCCCAAGAAACTCAACACGGCAACTCTGGTCTGCACACCTCAGGACTGCAGGCAGAGACCGGGACTGCTCAAGAAACAACGGGAAGAGTACCAGAGATGGTGACCCCGTCTCCATCTTCAAGTGTGGACCCGAATCTCATGGAGAGATTCTTCAGCTTCATGTCACACTTCGATCAGCAGCAGCAGACAAGGACACCTGCGCACTCAACACAGAGCAATGGAGGGAATATGGGATTAGCGCCGATGAGCCTCGACAACTCATCCTTCGGGCGACACAATCAAGCGCCTACCTTTGCGCCTTATCACTCTTCACCGGGGACGTTCGAGTTCATGCCGCCCCGTGCCCAACCAACAGCAGCTGCATCACAACAAACACCAAACGAGATTTTAAGTCTCCAGGCACAGTTTTCACACGTGATTAAACTGCAGACATCATCCCCATTCAACGGACACGACTTCTTTACCTGGAGCTTCGAGTTCGAGCTGCTGATGGAGGCCGCGCATCTTCTGGGATACTTCAACGGGTCCCTGCCATTCCCAAGCAACGGCACTGGGAAGGAACAAGAAATCTTCACGTATCAGTCGCTGCTGGCGTATACGGTACTCCTGAGAAACTTGTCACCACAAGAGCAGCAGAGCATCAGAACGTATCGGAGTTATGGAAACTCCGCGGAACTTGCATGGCATCATCTCAAATGCCTCTATCAAGCAAACGACAGCGTGACACAAAGCAGACTCATGCAACAGCTGACAACAATACAGATGAAAACCGGGGAAAAGGCGATGCAGTATATGAGTCGCTGCCAGACCCTGCGCGACCGCCTGCTTCGGTGCGGAGGAACGATCACTGAAGAAAGCTTCGTCACACTTGTCCTCGCCGGGCTCGGACCAGAATGGAGAACCACACGATCGCTTCTTCGCGCCCACGGAAGGATCTCGGAGATGCACCTCTGCGCCGAGCTTCACGCTGAACAACAGGAGATGGATCTGTTCGAGGAAAGACAACCAAGGAAGCAACAGCAGTTAGTCTTCTACACTCAAAGAAGAAATGACATAAACTACAACCGACGCAGCAAGCAAGATCAACGCGACAACCGAGGACTCACCATCGTGCCGCCGTTCTGCCACAACTGCCAGACTTCCGGACACTCCAAAGTCAACTGCAACCGCCCTCGCGTTTACCGTGCAGCAGACCCACAAGTTGCTTCCACTCAAGCAAGTTCCCCAAGGCGCTCTTCAACATCTGCACAAGGGACACCAAATATCATCAACTGCATGGTACACATCGACAACTGCGCACCCGGATCACCACCCACTTACGCACCAGACGAAGAGGAATTCCCGCCGCCGCGCTCACAAGGACTTCAGGTCCACCCAACATACGCTGCGGTCGCCAACGCCGAACCCACTGGGCGAAACACCTGGTTCTTGGACAGCTGCTGCGGTCAACACATGTGCTCCTCGGGACGCTTCGTGCAACAGGAGAAACGCCTCAACCGCGACGTCGTCATCACCGTCGCCAACAACGAAAACCTGAAAACAAACAGACAGGGCGTGGTTCAGTTACAATCCATGGAGACGAATGTCATACTTCAACTCAACAAGGTGCTCATTGTCGACAATCTGGGATACAATCTACTAAGCGTAAGCCAACTAATGGCCAAGGGGATTCACCTGGAGTGCGACTCTTACTCCAACGAGTTCCGGCTTTACCACGGGAAGGGCGGCCTCTTCATCGGTCGTGCCCTCCTGAAGTCCGGCGTCTTCGTGTTGGACTTCGTCCCCGACCGCGGAACTGCCGACAGCGATGGCATCGTATCGTTCGCCGCCTGGACTCACCCGCCGGATCTTGACCCCGACTTCGACAGTGACGGCTTCTGGCACTCCAACACCATACCTGCAGCAGAGAGAACACGAGCATTAGCAGTTATCAGACAAGAAAGACAAGTACCCGCAAGTGTCCCAACAAAACCATCACCTGCAGTATCGGCAGCAGGACCCAGCCGAGTACCACCACCATCAACACGAGGACCGCCAACGGAAGCAGACCAACTTATGCCCGCCACACGAGAAGCTTGTCGAAGTCCCGCCTCAGTCGTCGCGTTCTTCTCCAACGCCGACATCTACCACCGCTCGCCCGGCCACCGCGCTCCCGACGACATCTGGCACCAACGTCTCGGACATCCTGCAAACAGCACGATACTTCAAACAATCCAAGCAGAGGTGTTAGAACGCAACGCCCTTCTGACGACGAACGGCCAGGAACTCCGACGACCACGCGCACGGTGCTTCACATGCCCCGAAGCAGATCTTCCTCATCAACCTTTCCCAGCCCATCACAATCCAAGCGCACCCACTTACGCTCCGATGGAAAAGGTCTACAGCGATATTCTAAACATGCCTCGAGACGACACCGAAGCCGACTTCAACTACGTCATCACGTTCATCGACGCAGCAACCAGATACGTCTGGCACTTCAATCTCAAAACGCGCGATCAAGCCTTCGAGGCCTTCACCACATGGCTTCCAATCGCCGAACGAGAGTCAGGAACCAAACTCAAGAGTTTCCAGTCAGACGGTGCACTGGAATACCAGTCACAACGCTTCAGGACCTATCTCGCGGAAAGGGGAATCCGACGCCTGGTGTCTCTGCCCTATGCTCACCAGCAGCAGGGGGTAGCAGAACGCATGAACCGGACCTTGCAGACGACGATGCGAAAACTGCTTCTGGGGATGAGGCTGCCCAACGCACTGTGGCCAGACGCGATGACACATGCTGTTCACCTGCACAACCTGCTGTCCTCGTCATCACTTCCCAACAACGCATCGCCGCACCTGTTGTGGACAAGAAAAAGGGGCAGCACAAAATTACTCCGCGTTTTCGGCTGCATGGTACAGTACAGACCCCACACAGCCCGAGCAGGACGCTTCTCACAAAGAGCTCGATGGGGACTACACCTCGGCATCGCAAAACATTTTCACGCGTGGAAAATTCTCGACATACAAGACAAAAACACGGTGGCATCACGCGATGTTATCTTCTACGAACGACTGACGCTGCAGCATTACCTGGACAACCTTGCCAACACACAAGACCCCACCGACGGCTTCGCGGGCCTTCGCTCCTTCGCTGACCACACTGCCGAGGCTGACGCAGCAGAAGAAGACGTACCTGGAGCCTCGGAAGCTGCCGGACCACTCCCATTCTGTTCCGTACCTGTTCCACTCGATGAAGATAATCCCCTCGATAGCAACAACCTCGACACCTTTTACCACTTCGCCGACCAAGGTTACGCTACACCTCACCCCGTCGACACGAATATTTCGGAACGCATCGGCCCCAATTTCTTACCTGACCCCGAAGACGGTGACGAAGCAGCTTATTCCGGGAATGAAAATTCCCCTCGACACACGCCCACGGGACTCCAGATTCTAGGCCTCTGGGTCTCCGTCCAGAATCCGCCGCCGCCTTCTCCGCGAGAGCCTTCAACGTTGTCGCAGGCTCTGGGGGGGGAACATAAGGCAAGATGGAAGGAAGCAATGGAAAAGGAGTTAAAAGCTCTGCAAGACCGAGAAACGTGGAAACTGGTACCTGCAACGAGCATCAACGGAAAAAACGTTCTCTCGGGGAAATGGGTGTACCGCATCAAGACCAACTCAGACGGTTCCGTCGAACGATTCAAAGCTCGATGGGTCGTACGAGGCTTCGACCAACGATACGGAGCCGACTACACAGAAACCTTCGCTCCAGTCTCCCGTCACACCTCATTACGCATCCTACTCGCCGTCGCGGCCACGAAAAAACTGCCACTACGCCAAATCGATGTCGCGAATGCATTCCTATACGCACCTGTGGACGCTGAGATCTTCGTCGAACAACCCCACGGATTCATCAACGATCCCACGAAAATATGCCGACTGACAAAATCCCTATACGGGATCAAGCAAGCCCCGCGGCTCTGGCAGCAGCATCTCCACGGCCGTCTCGCAAAGATCGGCTTCCTACAATTACCGCATGACCAAGGGATGTACCGACTGCAGAAGGGAAGAGATTATGTTCTGCTCATCGTCTACGTCGACGACCTGCTCTACATCGGCTCCACTATCGACATCGCCACCTGGTTCGAAGGGGAGCTGAAAGAAGATTTAACTCTCACGGTGTCCGACGAAGTTACCCAGTACCTAGGACTGAACATCGTCGAAGACGACACGGCGTTCTACCTACACGCTGGAAAGTACTCAAGCACCGTCGCGAAGAAATTCGGTCTAGCACCGACTGCGGTCCCAACTCCCTACCGCTACGGGAACAACAGTAGCGCCTCCACAAAACTCCCCGCGAAACAAATCCAGGAGTATCAACAGAAGCTCGGTTGCCTACTATTCGCAGCAGTAACCTGCCGACCCGACCTATCCTATAGTGCGAGTCAGCTGGCGACACATCTGAAGCAGCCGCAACAGGAAGATCTCGAAGAACTCAATCGAGCGCTACTCTACTTCGTCTCCACGCCGACGATCGGGCTCACCTACAGCAAGGCAACAACACCGTCCGTACAACTACTCGGATACGTCGACGCCGACCACGCGGGAGACAGCGAAAATCGACGGTCTAGGACGGGCTACATCTACCGACTAGAACCTATCGGAACTATCTCCTGGCAGTCGAGCAAGCAGGAGTTAATCGCACTATCCTCGGCTGAAGCAGAGTATGTCGCCCTTTGTACTGCGACCAGGGAAGGACTCTACCTACGAGAGTTACTCGAAGAAGCGAAGATCGCGACCCTGCCCGCCTTCTCACTCCTCTGCGACAACCAATCTGCAATCAAAATCGCGAACAAGGACGGCTTCGCCAACCGAACCAAGCACATCGCCCTGCGGTACTTCTTCGTCAAGGATGAAATCGCGAAGGGGAGACTTCAACTCAGTTACTGCCCGACGACAGAAATGGCCGCAGATTATCTGACGAAGAAATTGGCGAAAGCAAAATTCGACTACTGCATGCTCCTAACCGGGCAAACAAACGTCACCGGATCTGAACACTCCAGCACTCCAGAAACGAAGGGGAGTGTTGGAAATATCTCAAGGACTTAAGCGTTTCTGAAGTGTAACACTGTACTCGAGGAAGATTACAGGGGAGCACGCGAGTCAACGGAGGTTACACGAGGGGGCGGACAAAGAAAGCGAAAGGACTCGAAAGGTCGCAACTGGAGGTTGCGACTGACCGTTACAACATCACAGATGGTAACCGAAGCGGCAATCGAGTCGCTGTGCGACTCGATAAACCGCTCCTGTAACTGTATTCTACAACTGCTTTCTTATCTTCTATATATTGCTGTATGCTTGTTTCTTTAATCAATCACTTGTTCTCACATACTAGTACAAGGGTTCAACCGTCTCAACTTCCGCTGCACTACTCCAAGTCTCAAGTCTTTACAGCTGGGACTTAGTCTCTGCAAAAGATCCTAAGGGCTTTTCTCAGCCCAACAGCAGCGATCCATTCTCATCAGGTTTGCTTGTGTTTATGTTGCGTAGTGTGTGTGCAAGTGTGCAAGTGTGCAAGTAGGCGAGCAATTAGGTGAGCAATTAGGTGTGCAAGTTCGTCTCTAGATGGAAGGGTGTGGTAGTAAGGGGGGCCCAATCTCAGCCTTGCACGTGCTGTGGAGGCTGATCCCACTTCAAACCAAACACTGCTGCAGTCGCACCTGCTGAGCCATTCCAGCAGCAAGCGGTATTGTTCTTATGTGGATTGTGTGCTACGTCTCCCATCTGCCCGTACATGTATCGTATGTATATTCCTTAGTTCTAACCTGCGGTTACAAGTTACAAGCACCCGCCATCACCACACCCTGAAGTTCCTCCACGCGAGGCCATCCAGCAGACTCGGCTCCTACCACCGCACAACCTCCCAAGCCATCCCCGCCGTCGGATGCGTCACATCATCCCCTGTTATGTCTCCCGTCGCTCGCTGCTGCCCGCTCCCCAACAGCTGCGTCCCTCGCTCCGCGCCAGCCCGCAATCTCCCCCTCGCCTTCTCGCAGAAAGCACGCCAATGCGCTTCCGCCCCTCTGCGCGTTTCCTCGACCGCCTCGCGCGCAGCCCCGATCAGACGCGCCGCCTGCAGCTGCAGCGCGCCAGAAGCACATCAGTCGAATACCTGCCCTTATTGCTACAGTGATACCTTACACTATAACGAGGCCTTGCACTGTAGCGACGCCTTACAAATGTAGCGACGCCCGTGACGGTGTGTTTCAAGTGGGGAGCCATGGGCCGTGCGGCCACCACCACTGCCGCGCCAGCAACCGCCGCTCCCGCCACGAGCAGCAACGTCCGCCATGGAATGAGCCCCTCGCCGTCTGCGTCGAACTCCCTCGCTCCCGGCGCTTTCCCGCCTGCCCGCCTCCGTTCGCTCGCCATTGCGGTCGATCGCCACGCTGCGACGGCCAGCCCTGCGACAAGCAGACCAGCGAGGTGCCGCTAACGCTCTCGCGCAGAGCGAAGGTCAAAAGGAAGCGGCTTTGACGGGCCATGCGACGACAGGCCGACGCACGGGTGGCGGGGCGGCTCCACGCCGTCGCGGCTGACTGCCGCGAGCGGCGTGACGAGGCTGGATGGATGGCTCGGTTTAGTCCGGTGAGGAGGCTCGGAGGATGGACGACATGCAGGAGTGGAGGGTGGAGCGTTGATGCCTCCAGCGCACTCCTACAGCAGTCCTCGTTACAAGTGAGCAGGTACGTGGTAAAGGCACAGCTGAGAAGAAAAATAAAATTTGTGCAGTTCGTTGCGTGGCCTTTCACCCCTCCATCTACTGAATTACATGCGACATATGACCAACGACGACGGAAACGGCGAGATGATACAAACAGGTGGGAAGAACGAAGGAATAGAGATGGCTCAACACAGCATATGGTAACCGTATATCCGCCTTATGGTTGTACTATTCCAAGGCCACCACTTGCGTTTCCACCAACTCGTTGACTAGAACATGTGGAAGGGCGAGGCAAGTCCCCTCCAACACCTGATCCCCTTTCACTTGGGGGTTCGCCCTTTCACTTGGGGGTTCGCCCTTTCACTTGGGGGTTCGCCCTTTCACTTGGGGGTTCGCCCTTTCACTTGGGGGTTCGCCCTTTCACTTGGGGGTTCGCCCTTTCACTTGGGGGTTCGCCCTTTCACTTGGGGGTTCGCCCTTTCACTTGGGGGTTCGCCCTTTCACTTGGGGGTTCGCCCTTTCACTTGGGGGTTCGCCCTCCGCAGCGCGCCCAGCGGCACCCGAGGGAGAGCAGCGCAACGCATGTGGGCATGCCATCCAATGGTCCACGGTCACAACGATGGGATCACAACGGGAGAGTGCAGCATCCATGCGGGATGGCGCATGGCGGGCAGATGGCGCATGGTGGGCAGATGGCGCATGGCGGGCAGATGGCGCATGGCGGGCAGATGGCGCATGGCGGGCAGATGGCGCATGGTGGGCAGATGGCGCATGGCGGGCAGATGGCGCATGGCGGGCAGATGGCGCATGGCGGGCAGATGGAGCATGGTGGGCAGATGGAGCATGGTGGGCAGATGGAGCATGGTGGGCAGATGGAGCATGGTGGGCAGATGGAGCATGGTGGGCAGATGGAGCATGGTGGGCAGATGGAGCATGGTGGGCAGATGGAGCATGGTGGGTGCCACACATAACACAGATTGCCCTGCAGCTCCTTGCGCCCTCCTCACCCCCTTGCTCCTCCTCACCCCCTTGCTCCTCCTCCTCACCCCCTTGCTCCTCCTCACCCCCTTGCTCCTCCTCACCCCCTTGCTCCTCCTCACCCCCTTGCTCCTCCTCACCCCCTTGCTCCTCCTCACCCCCTTGCTCCTCCTCACCCCCTTGCTCCTCCTCACCCCTTGCTCCTCCTCACCCCCTTGCTCCTCCTCACCCTCGCCTCATCTCATGTGCTTCCAGCACCTGCTGTTGCCGTGCCATGCCCCACAAGCTGTCCTCTTCCTTCACACGCACCCGCGCACCAGCATCCACCACCAGAGTCTCGATCCTCCCACTCACTGCGCCCCTCACTGCGCCCTGCACCCCGCTCCCCACCTCCGCACTCCGTGCCACCACCTGCCACCCGGTCTGCCGCCAGGCCTCCGCCACCTCCTGAACGGCTTCTGCCATCCCCTGCACCGCGCCTGCCACCTCCTGCGCCACCTCAGCACCCACTGTGCTGGCACCCACTGCCGCGTCCTCCACTGCCCCCCCCACTGAGGCCACTGCTTCCCCCACAGAGAAAACTGCTTCCCCAACGGACGCTGCTGCCTGGCTGATGGTCGCATGGGCCTTTCCCACTGCCCGAATCACACGCACCTGCAGCACAGGGAAACAGAAGGGCACGTGGAAGGAAATCTAGGTAAATTCACTGCGGTGGGTGCTGCTATTGTTTTTTTTTTTTTTTTCCCCAGTTGTTGGAATCAACTGGGAGGGAACAGAAAGCGGTATACCGGTATTACCCGTTTTAACTCACTGTGTCCTTGATCCCGACAGCAGTGAGCTTCGCAGTCTCCAGCACCTGCCGTTCCTCTGCCCGGTGTTTCAGGTATGCAGCCACCATGGCTCCCGCACCCACCACCCCGGCCACGCAGATCGCACGCCATGCCCCCGGTGGAACGCGCCACAGGCCATCATGGCCTCCTTGGGGAGGGCTACTCCCATCGGCAGGCCTGGAATCGGATCGACCATCGCCGTTTTTCGCCATGGCAATCAGATTCCTGTGCACTGATCTCTGGCGGGACACATGAATGAGCGGGTGAAACCAAGACAATTTCTGTGCTCAGTGAGGGCGGGCGAATGCTAAGTGCAGCTGGTAGGAGAATTTGGGAATTCGGGAAGTGAAATGTGTTGTAACATTGTTTGGCGAAAATGGCGATTGTTTTGGCACGAAGTCGTTCGGTCTGTTCAAAGTTTGACCCGACAGCACAGCTCCACCCGCTAGCTCATGGGCGTGCCACGTGCAACTTCATGTGTATGTGACGTCATTCCAGCGTGGCTCCATCCACTCTCCTTCCCGTTATGCCCCCCTCCTCTCCATGCTGGAATTGAATCTCCTCTTTCCCGCGTGAGAATGGCTGAATCCAAAATTGGGCCCGGCGCGCTTTGCAGCTTCGCAATCGGACATTTCGAGAGAAGGTCGGGCCACACGCGCCTCGATTCAAAATCCCCAACCCACGCTTCCCAATCTTCGCCCGCATCCCGCCTCGCTGACTCGCCCCTCCTCTCTTTCTTCCGTCTGATGCCTTCACTCCTGCACTTTCTTGATTCCACGCGAAACTAGGCGCCATGTTGTGGCAGCAGAACTACTCATTCAAGTCTCGACGTTTTAGTGCCATCGAGTTACCATAATGGCGAGCATCCTATCGACACGAAACTACTCGTTCTAGTCTCAGACACGTTATATCGCGTCGTTAACATCATGGCTAGCATCCGACTAATCCAGCCGCGTCACGTCGGAGTGCCGTTCACTCCCTGTGAGCGGAGCCCGTCACGCGAAGGTAGCCGTTCATTAGCATGGAATAGCAGCGAGTGCTGGCGAGCGTCGACTCTTCGTCCATGCATCAGCTTCCTCTCCCATTCGCGCGTCACACACACGGTCCGCAGCCGCCGGTGTCATATAGCGTGCGCTTCCGCCACCCCATGGCGCACGAGAGGCATTTTCCCAAACCCCTTCGACCGCCACCCTCCCCTATTCCCCCTCACTCCAATCCCCGCGCTCGCCGCGCTTATCGCTCCCACTCGTCCACGTGTCGCCTGTTCAGCGCACATCGCTGCGACAGCGCCGCGTCGCCTTCGCGTTTTCGCAACGGCCTCGTCGCCTTCCGTGAGGGGGTCGCCTTCTGTGGCGCCTCATATGTCGTCTTCTGTGAGCGGGGCGAAGAGCGCGACGACGGCGACGACGTTGACGACGGACGGTAAAGGCGGGCTCAAGGTGGGTGGCGAGGAGTCATCGGAGGGCCTTCAGCAGCCTGGAGAGGTGGTGGGCGCCACGTCATCATCATCTGAGCTGGCCGGCGAGGTGGTGGACGCCACGTCAGCGCAGAGAGGCCACCTGGACGTGTCGCGACACAACCTGCCGCTCTGCCGCATTGTCAACCAGGTAGTGCCCCGGAGGGGTACACGTGGCAGTGGCGGGGTAGGCGAGGGAGGGAGGGAGGGAGGGAGGGAGGGAGGGAGGGGGAGGGGGGGGGGGGGGGGGGGGAGGGAGGGAGGGAGGGAGGGAGGGAGGGAGGGAGGGAGGGAGGGAGGGGTGGGGGGGGGGGGGGGGGGGGGGGAGGGAGGGAGGGAGAGAGAGAGAGAGAGAGGGAGATAGGCAGGCAGGCAACGATGAGCGCACGAGAGGAGGGTAGGACGACAGAATGTGAGTGCTTATCGGCTTGAGCATGGAGGGGCGACAGGACCACCGTCCTGCACCTCCCCCTTCCTTCATACCCTCTGGTGATGGCCGACCGAGCGACCAGGGAGATCACTCTAAGCATACTGCCGCGCCAACAATGCAGTTCACTCCACTTTCCCCCCCCCTCCCCCTTCCCCCTCCCCTCCCCTCCCCCCGCTTCCAGGCAGGAGCGAGATGGGCGGTATCAGCAGGGGGCAGCAGCGAGGATGCTGACCTGGGCGGAGTGGCATGGGTGGGGGACAATAGCACGGCCACGACTCCCTCTCCCCCTCTCCCCCTCTCCCTCTCCCTCTCTCCCTCTTCCCCCCCAGGCAGCAGTGAAAGAGGCACTCCTGGCAGCAGCGGTGGACCCCGAGCTGGGAGGCGTGGCGCTGGTGGGCGGGCACGGCACGGGCAAGACGGTCATGGCGCGCAGCCTGCAGCAGCTGCTGCCGCCCATTGCTGTCGTCACGGGCAGCTGGGCCAACGCGGACCCCACGAGACCCGAGGAGTGAGTGCTGAGGGAGTTGAGGGAAGCAGAAGGGGGGCGGGCAAAACGCAGCAGCTGCCACCGCCCATGGGGGTCGTCACTGGCAGCTGGGCCGACGCGGATCTGTTGGGGCTGGAAGAGTGCGCGAGGGGGAAGCTGAGAGCTGTGGAGTGCGCTGAGGCAGTATATGCATGGAGTGCGCTGAGGCAGTATATGCATGGGGTGCGCTGAGGCAGTATATGCATGGGGTGCGCTGAGGCAGTATATGCATGGAGTGTGGGAGTGCGGGAGTGGGACTGTTGAGAATGTACGAGGGAAGGTAAGAAGGATAATGTGCAAACTTGATGCGTAAGACTTAGTTTCGTTGCATTCGTGCGTGCAAGTGTCCGTGCATGTGTCTGGGCATGTGTCTGGGCATGTGTGCATGAGCAGGTGGGAGGACGGTTTGAGGGAGAGCGTCAAGGAGCAGGGCTTTGACATACGCCGCCCACCCATCACCCTCTGCAATCCGCCCTTCGTTCAGGTGCACCCTGCCACGCCATGCCATGCCAAACCATGGCATGCCACGCCACGCCATGCCATGCCACGCCACGCCACGCCATGCCATGCCATGCCATGCCATCCTCTCTCACTGTGCTCTCGCCCCCACTATTGCCACCCCCTCATCTCCCCCCTACTCTTCCCCAGGTGCCCTTGACAATCTCGGAGGATCGTCTGCCCGGGGCAGTGGGCGGGGAGGGCGCTCTCACCACGCGCCCTCCTCCCCATTCCCCGCCACGCCTGCCGTCCCCAAGGCCACGCCGTTAGGGCCCTCGGGGCGTGGCGCCGCATCGGCTGCTGGGGTCGGTGGAAGGGGAGGTGCCCTTCCCACCCGAGGCCCAGTGCGTGCGGCGCCCCACTCCCTCAGGTGCCCGTGGGAGTCCGGGTGACCGTCTGCGTGCTTCGGTGGGCGTGGAGCATAATCCCACGGCGCCTTCTCCCGCCACCGCCACCCCTGCTCCCCCCCTGCTCTCCCCCTGCTCTCCCCTGTTCGCCCCCAGGTGCCTCTGGGAGTGACGGAGGACCGTCTGCTGGGGTCGGTGGACGTGGAGGCGTCCATCGATGAGGGCAGGAGCGTCTTCCTGCCGGGCCTGCTCGCACGTGAGTGATGAAGGGGGGTCGCTCGCACGTGAGTGTAAAGGGGCTGCTGCACGTGAGGAAGAAGCGACAAGTGTGGCGTTATCCAATGCGAGAGAAAGCGGCCGGGATGATAGGGGCGAGCACGAGCGTGAGCGTTCTCAGGGCTGGGCTCGCTGGCATGGAGTTTGGTATCGCGCGCCCTTGCACTGGCATTGCAATGGCATTGCACACGAGTACTAGAGCACGTCTTGCCTTGAAAAACGTGTATACGAGGTCAGAGCATGCGCCCCATGGCATGCGCCCCATAGCATGCGCCCCATAGCATGCGCCCCATAGCATGCGCCCCATGGCATGCGCCCCATAGCATGCGCCCCATAGCATGCGCCCCATAGCATGCGCCCCATAGCATGCGCCCCATAGCATGCGCCCCATAGCATGCGCCCCATAGCATGCGCCCCATAGCATGCGCCCCATAGCATGCGCCCCATAGCATGCGCCCCATAGCATGCGCCCCATAGCATGCGCCCCATGGCATGCGCCCCATAGCATGCGCCCCATGGCATGCGCCCCATAGCATGCGCCCCATGGCATGCGCCCCATAGCATGCGCCCCATAGCATGCGCCCCATGGCATGCGCCCCATAGCATGCGCCCCATAGCATGCGCCCCATAGCATGCGCCCCATAGCATGCGCCCCATAGCATGCGCCCCATAGCATGCGCCCCATAGCATGCGCCCCATGGCATGCGCCCCATAGCATGCGCCCCATGGCATGCGCCCCATAGCATGCGCCCCATAGCATGCGCCCCATAGCATGCGCCCCATGGCATGCGCCCCATAGCATGCGCCCCATAGCATGCGCCCCATAGCATGCGCCCCATGGCATGCGCCCCATAGCATGCGCCCCATAGCATGCGCCCCATAGCATGCGCCCCATGGCATGCGCCCCATAGCATGCGCCCCATGGCATGCGCCCCATAGCATGCGCCCCATGGCATGCGCCCCATAGCATGCGCCCCATAGCATGCGCCCCATGGCATGCGCCCCATAGCATGCGCCCCATAGCATGCGCCCCATAGCATGCGCCCCATAGCATGCGCCCCATAGCATGCGCCCCATAGCATGCGCTTCTGCTGGCCCGGCATGCCCCATAGCATGTGCTTCTGCTGGCCCGGCATGTTGTGTGAGCAACATCTTCACTGCCCCACAGCACCCACTTGCTCGTAGCGGCACAGAGAAGCATACGAGGTACCACACTCAACCAAGCCAATCCAGCCCCGAAAGCCCCTTTGTGCTTGGCTGTCCCACCACTCCGACATGGGGCTGTCGCGCTAGTCCTGCCGTCCATGGCGCGCCTTCACTCCTCTGCATGAGCCCGCTCATCCCTCTCACACGCTCTGCTGCATTCCAGACCAAACTCGGTAGCTTCTCTCCACGCCCTGGTGCCCTCCCCTGAACCACTGCCATTCCTCCATCAACCGTCCGTTCACTGCAGCCCCCCCTGCCCCATAGCCCCCCCCCCCTGCCCCATAGCCCCCTCCCCCTGCCCCATAGCCCCCTCCCCCTGCCCCATAGCCCCCTCCGCCTGCCTCATAGCCCCCTCCCCCTGCCCCATAGCCCCCTCCCCCTGCCTCATAGCCCCCTCCCCCTGCCCCATAGCCCCCTCCCCCTGCCTCATAGCCCCCTCCGCCTGCCCCATAGCCCCCTCCCCCTGCCTCATAGCCCCCTCTCCCTGCCCCATAGCCCCCTCCCCCTGCCTCATAGCCCCCTCCCCCTGCCCCATAGCCCCCTCCCCCTGCCTCATAGCCCCCCCCCTGCCCCATAGCCCCCTCCCCCTGCCCCATAGCCCCCTCCCCCTGCCCCATAGCCCCCTCCGCCTGCCTCATAGCCCCCTCCCCTGCCCCATAGCCCCCTCCCCCTGCCTCATAGCCCCCTCCCCCTGCCCCATAGCCCCCTCCCCCTGCCTCATAGCCCCCTCCGCCTGCCCCATAGCCCCCTCCCCCTGCCTCATAGCCCCCTCTCCCTGCCCCATAGCCCCCTCCCCCTGCCTCATAGCCCCCTCCCCCTGCCCCATAGCCCCCTCCCCCTGCCTCATAGCCCCCTCCGCCTGCCCCATAGCCCCCTCCCCTGCCTCATAGCCCCCTCCCCCTGCCCCATAGCCCCCTCCGCCTGCCCCATAGCCCCCTCCCCCTGCCCCATAGCCCCCTCCCCCTGCCCCATAGCCCCCTCCCCCTGCCCCATAGCCCCCTCCCCCTGCCCCATAGCCCCCTCCGCCTGCCTCATAGCCCCCTCCCCCTGCCCCATAGCCCCCTCCGCCTGCCTCATAGCCCCCTCCCCCTGCCCCATAGCCCCCTCCCCCTGCCCCATAGCCCCCTCCCCCTGCCCCATAGCCCCCTCCCCCTGCCCCATAGCCCCCTCCGCCTGCCTCATAGCCCCCTCCCCCTGCCCCATAGCCCCCTCCCCCTGCCTCATAGGCCCCTCCGCCTGCCTCATAGCCCCCTCCCCCTGCCCCATAGCCCCCTCCCCCTGCCCCATAGCCCCCTCCGCCTGCCCCATAGCCCCCTCCCCCTGCCCCATAGCCCCCACCGCCTGCCTCATAGCCCCTTCCCCCTGCCCCATAGCCCCCTCCGCCTGCCTCATAGCCCCCTCCCCCTGCCTCATAGCCCCCTCCCCCTGCCTCATAGCCCCCTCCGCCTGCCCACCTCTGTAGGTGGACGCCATCAAGCCATGGATTCGTCTAAGGCTCGTTACTCTTGGCCTTGCTGCTCCCTTGCCCCCCAACATACACGCATCGCCCCTCCCTCCTTCTCACTGCCATGGACTCGCTGCTCTGCGCCCCTCCATCCCGCATTACCCCCAACATGCACGCATCACCTTCATTTCTCCCCCCCTCTCCCCCTCAGACTGCCACAGGGGCGTGCTGTACACTGACGACGTCAACGTGGCCGGCACCATGGGCCCGCCTCTCTTCACGCCCTTCCCCTCCGTGTTGGGTCACGCACGGACATGCGCCCATCCCCCCCATCACCCCCATCCCCCCCATCCCCCCCATCCCCCCCATCCCCCCCATCGCCCCCATCGCCCCCATGGGGCGTCAACTTGCTTGAGGACGTCACGGGGTTGCTGCTCGTCATCCTTCTTCTCTTTTACCGTGTATGTGTCCCCCCCACACCATCTCCCCCCCACACCATCTCCCCCCCACACCATCTCCCCCGCCCCCAGAGTGCCACAGGGGCGTGCTGTACATAGACGACGCCAACCTGCTGGACGACACCATGGGGTCCTTGCTCTTCGCATCGCTGGCGGACGGCAGCAGCACGGTGGAGCGCGAGGGGCTATCGGTGCGCCACGCGTGCCGGCCGCTGCTGCTGGCGTCGTTCAACGCGGAAGAGGGCATGCTCAGGCGCCACCTGCTCGACCGGATTGCACTCATTGTCAGGTGAGAGGGGCGGTGGAGAGGGGTGCTGAGGGGTGCTGAGGGGTGCTGATGGGTGCTGTGGCGACGCTTGCTGGACAGGATTGCGCTGATTGTGAGGTGTGACACATGGCGGAAGACAGGGAACTCTCCGTGCCCCTGCGTGCTGCCCCTGCGTGCTGCCCCTGCGTGCTGCCCCTGCGTGCTGCCCCTGCGTGCTGGCCCTGCATGCTGCCCCTACGTGCTGCCCCTGCGTGCTGCCCCTGCGTGCTGCTGGCGTCACTCAAATCAGAAGGAGGAAGAAGGGGCGCTGAGACGGCAGTTTGAGGTGAGACGCGTGGTGTAGAGGGGGGTTAGTGGTGCTGAGGGGTGCTGAGGCGGCAGCTACTAGGCTGGATTGCGCTAATTGTGAGGCGTGGGGGGGCGCCTGGGGTGTTGAACGGAAGGCGAGCATTAAGGGCTCCCTGCTCTGCGCCTGCTGCCCGCTGCTGCTGGCGTCGATCAATGCGGAGTGAACTGGCGAGTTTGTTAGCATTTGCTCAACAAGATTGCACTTACTGTGAGGTGAGGTGAGGTGGGAGTGGAGAAGGAGGCGGAGGGATAGCGTGCAGCGATGAGGAGTGTCACTGTGATGCGCTGCTCAGCGTTGGCATTGGTGGGGCACCTCTTTTCACTGCGCTTCCTTGTGCCCTGCGAATGCTGCTTTCCTCAGCGTTGGCTTTTCCTTTCGTGCCCCTGGCCGCGTGATTGCATGGCCTCAATGCGTGATTGCATGGCCTCAATGCGTGATTGCATGGCCTCAATGCGTGATTGCATGGCCTGAATGCATGTGCATCGTCATCCTACACGTGTCCGTGCATGTGCATCGTCATCCTACACGTATCCGTGCATGTGCCTGCCACGTCAGCACGGATGCGCCTCTCTCATTGGAGCAGCGGGTGGCAGCAGCTGACGTGGCGAACACGTATCTGGACGGCAGACGTGCGACAGGGGGAGGGGATAAGGGGCATGTGAGAGGAAAGGGGGGCATGAGATTGGAGGACGAGAAAGAGGAAGAGCGAGTGGAGCGAGAGGAGGAGGGGAGTGTGGAGAAGGGGGCGGACGAGGAGCGAGAGGAGGACGGGGTGGAGGCGGATCGTTTGCGAGTGCTGTTTGCCCGCCAGCTGCTGCCACGTGTCACCATCTCACAGGCCCAGATAGCCTTCCTGGTGGACGCCGCTGTGCAGCTGGAATGCGAGGTGAGATGCGGTGCAGTGCGGTGGCATGAGGTGCGGTGCAATGGTAGTGCAACGCAGTGAGATCCAGCGAGAGTCTCAGAGCAAGGGGTGTATGAGGATGGATGGCATCGCATGGGGCGCAGCACCTGTCTCGAGTGGCGGGCGTTCATCGCCTCTCCTCTCTCTTCCTCGTCCGGCTGCTGCTCTCCATCATGCCACGTGTAACCATCTCAGGAGCTGCCGCTCATGCACAGAACATGTGTAGCCCACCCCATGCAACACGCCATGCAATCCCAATACCCTCCCCACCCTACACCACCACCAACCCCCCCAGGGCCAGAGAGCGGAGCTGTTTGCAGTGCGAGCAGCCAAGGCCCTGGCAGCCCTCAACGGGCGGTCGCAGGTCACCCAGGCGGATCTCTCCCGTGCTGTGAGCATGCCGGAGGGGGGGTGTGTGGGCGCGTGTGAGGGCGTGGTTCGGGGGGTGTGTGAAACACGCATGCTCACACCATACATGCATGCTCACTCCATACATGCATGCTCACTCCATACATGCATGCTCACACCATACACGCATGCTCACACCATACATGCATGCTCACTCCATACAGGCATGCTCACACCATACATGCATGCTCACACCATACATGCATGCTCACACCATACACGCATGCTCACACCATACACGCATGCTCACACCATACACGCATGCTCACACCATACACGCATGCTCACACCATACATGCATGCTCACTCCATACACGCATGCCAACATCATACATGCATGCTCACACCATACATGCATGCTCACACCATACACGCATGCTCACTCCATACACGCATGCCAACATCATACATGCATGCTTACACCATGCATGCAGCTATACCGCCAGTAACCTCTGCCCCATGCCACATGCCACATGCCACATGCCACATGCCACATGCCCCCCCAAATCCCATCAACCGATGATACAGGCCCAGCTGGCAGTGGTGCCACGTGCCACAGTGTCATTGGACAGCGAGCCTGCAAGCAGCACCCCCCAGTCGTCTCGGCCAGTGCCCCCTCCGCCCAGCCGGCGGAAGGAGGAGAGCAACGAGGAGCAGCAGGAGGAGCAGGAGGGCGAGGTGAGGGGGGGAGGATGGGGGGGGAATGGGGGGGAGAGGAGGGAGAGAGTAGAATGTGAGCAGTACCCCCAACTCAAAGCTGACAGCAGGAGGAGAGCAACGAGGAGCGCAGGAGGAGCAGGAGGGCGAGGTGAGGAGGGGGGGGGAAGGGGGTTTAAGAGAAGAGAGTAAAATGTGAGTAGCGGGAGAAACTCATCCCTGCTTCTCCCAGTCGACTCGGCAGTGCCCCCTCCCTCCAGCCAGCAGCAGGAGGAGAGCCACAAAGAGCAGCAGGAGGAGAGCCACAAAGAGCAGCAGGAGGAGAGCCACAAAGAGCAGCAGGAGGAGAGCCACAAAGAGCAGCAGGAGGAGAGCCACAAAGAGCAGCAGGAGGAGAGCCACAAAGAGCAGCAGGAGGAGAGCCACAAAGAGCAGCAGGAGGAGCAGGAGGCACAGGTGGAAGGGTGGGGGGGGGGTTTGGGTGAGGGAGGGATGAAGTGTATGGGCTAGCGGGAGGGCTAGCGGGAGGGCTAGCGGGAGGGCTAGCGGGAGGGCTAGCGGGAGGGCTAGCGGGAGGGCTAGCGGGAGGGCTAGCGGGAGGGCTAGCGGGAGGGCTAGCGGGAGGGCTAGCGGGAGGGCTAGCGGGAGGGCTAGCGGGAGGGCTAGCGGGAGGGCTAGCGGGAGGGCTAGCGGGAGGGCTAGCGGGAGGGCTAGCGGGAGGGCTAGCGGGAGGGCTAGCGGGAGGGCTAGCGGGAGGGCTAGCGGGAGGGCTAGCGGGAGGGCTAGCGGGAGGGCATTGCTGCCATGGCGAGCTCGTGAGGGGCATTGCTGCCATGGCGAGCTCGTGAGGGGCATTGCTGCCATGGCGAGCTCGTGAGGGGCATTGCTGCCATGGCGAGCTCGTGAGGGGCATTGCTGCCATGGCGAGCTCGTGAGGGGCATTGCTGCCATGGCGAGCTCGTGAGGGGCATTGCTGCCATGGCGAGCTCGTGAGGGGCATTGCTGCCATGGCGAGCTCGTGAGGGGCATTGCTGCCATGGCGAGCTCGTGAGGGGCATTGCTGCCATGGCGAGCTCGTGAGGGGCATTGCTGCCATGGCGAGCTCGTGAGGGGCATTGCTGTCATGGCGAGCTCGTGAGGGGCATTGCTGCCATGGCGAGCTGGTGAGGGGCATTGCTGCCATGGCGAGCTGGTGAGGGGCATTGCTGCCATGGCGAGCTCGTGAGGGGCATTGCTGCCATGGCGAGCTCGTGAGGGGCATTGCTGCCATGGCGAGCTCGTGAGGGGCATTGCTGCCATGGCGAGCTCGTGAGGGGCATTGCTGCCATGGCGAGCTCGTGAGGGGCATTGCTGCCATGGCGAGCTCGTGAGGGGCATTGCTGCCATGGCGAGCTCGTGAGGGGCATTGCTGCCATGGCGAGCTCGTGAGGGGCATTGCTGCCATGGCGAGCTCGTGAGGGGCATTGCTGCCATGGCGAGCTCGTGAGGGGCATTGCTGCCATGGCGAGCTCGTGAGGGGCATTGCTGCCATGGCGAGCTCGTGAGGGGCATTGCTGCCATGGCGAGCTCGTGAGGGGCATTGCCGCCATGGCGAGCTCGTGAGGGGCATTGCTGCCATGGCGAGCTCGTGAGGGGCATTGCTGCCATGGCGAGCTCGTGAGGGGCATTGCTGCCATGGCGAGCTCGTGAGGGGCATTGCTGCCATGGCGAGCTCGTGAGGGGCATTGCTGCCACGGCGAGCTGGTGAGGGGCATTGCTGCCACGGCGTGCTCGTGAGGGGCATTGCTGCCATGGCGAGCTCGTGAGGGGCATTGCTGCCAACGGGGAAGGGGGATGGACGGTGGGAAGGGCGGCGGCGTGTGTTGGGCCTGGATTGGATTGTGAGGGCAGCACAGCGCGAGACGTCCGGCTTTGCTGCTGCGGCAACACCACGCCTTCCCTCACCCTCTGCACCATCTCACCCTCCCTCTCTCCGTTCTCCCCCACCTTCTCCCAGCCCCCTGCAGCGGACGAGGACCAGCTGGAGCCGGTGTCCGTGGTGGAGGCGGCGGAGGACATGCAGCTGGATGCACCTCCCGGCTCGACGCCGCATGCTTCCAGCTCGACCCGGCTCACATCATGCTCTCCCTCCACGCTTCCTCCCCCTCTCCCTCCACGCTTCCTCCCCCTCTCCCTCCAAGCTTCCTCCCCCTCTCCCTCCAAGCTTCCTCCCCCTCTCCCTCCACGCTTCCTCCCCCTCTCCCTCCACGCTTCCTCCCCCTCTCCCTCCACGCTTCCTCCCCCTCTCCCTCCAAGCTTCCTCCCCCTCTCCCTCCACGCTTCCTCCCCCTCTCCCTCCACTCTTCCTCCCCCTCTCCCTCCACGCTTCCTCCCCCTCTCCCTCCACGCTTCCTCCCCCTCTCCCTCCACGCTTCCTCCCCCTCTCCCTCCACGCTTCCTCCCCCTCTCCCTCCACGCTTCCTCCCACTCTCCCTCCACGCTTCCTCCCCCTCTCCCTCCACGCTTCCTCCCCCTCTCCCTCCACGCTTCCTCCCCCTCTCCCTCCACGCTTCCTCCCCCTCTCCCTCCAAGCTTCCTCCCCCTCTCCCTCCACGCTTCCTCCCCCTCTCCCTCCACGCTTCCTCCCCCTCTCCCTCCAAGCTTCCTCCCCCTCTCCCTCCACGCTTCCTCCCCCTCTCCCTCCACGCTTCCTCCCCCTCTCCCTCCAAGCTTCCTCCCCCTCTCCCTCCACGCTTCCTCCCCCTCTCCCTCCAAGCTTCCTCCCCCTCTCCCTCCACGCTTCCTCCCCCTCTCCCTCCACGCTTCCTCCCCCTCTCCCTCCACGCTTCCTCCCCCTCTCCCTCCACGCTTCCTCCCCCTCTCCCTCCAAGCTTCCTCCCCCTCTCCCTCCACGCTTCCTCCCCCTCTCCCTCCACGCTTCCTCCCCCTCTCCCTCCAAGCTTCCTCCCCCTCTCCCTCCACGCTTCCTCCCCCTCTCCCTCCAAGCTTCCTCCCCCTCTCCCTCCAAGCTTCCTCCCCCTCTCCCTCCACGCTTCCTCCCCTCTCCCTCCACGCTTCCTCCCCCTCTCCCTCCACGCTTCCTCCCCTCTCCCTCCACGCTTCCTCCCCCTCTCCCTCCACGCTTCCTCCCCCTCTCCCTCCAAGCTTCCTCCCCCTCTCCCTCCACGCTTCCTCCCCCTCTCCCTCCACGCTTCCTCCCCCTCTCCCTCCACGCTTCCTCCCCCTCTCCCTCCACGCTTCCTCCCCCTCTCCCTCCACGCTTCCTCCCCCTCTCCCTCCACGCTTCCTCCCCCTCTCCCTCCACGCTTCCTCCCCCTCTCCCTCCACGCTTCCTCCCCCTCTCCCTGCTCCCATCTCCCCCTCTCCCTGCTCCCATCTCCCCCTCTCCCTGCTCCCATCTCCCCCTCTCCCTGCTCCCATCTTCCCCTCTCCCTGCTGCCATCTCCCCCTCTCCCTGCTCCCATCTCCCCCTCTCCCTTCTCCCATCTCCCCCTCTCCCAGGCTCCCTCACCGGACGAGGGCCAGTAGCTGCCGCCCCTTCCCACCGCACTTCCCATCGCCCTTCCCACCGCCCTTCCCACCGCCCTTACCACTCTGCCCCCGCGCTCCTGCACTCCCCACCTCCTCTCCAACCCTTCCCCCCTCCCCCACCTCCCAGCCCCCTGCAGCAGACGAGGACCAGCTGGTGCCAGCGTCCTTCGTGGTTGCAGCAGAGGACACCCGCCTTGACGCTGCCGCCCTGCAAATGTTTCAGCGGGCTGCCCGGACGGCGGGGCGGGCAGGGCGGTCAAAGAACAAGATATTTTCAGAGGAGCGCGGGCGATATGTGAAGGCTCTGCTGCCCAAGGGCAAGGTGGGTGGTGGCATGGCTAGTGCTACCGTGAAGGGGAGAGATGTGGCGCAGTGTGTGGTGCAGTGAGGGGAGAGTTGGGAGTGGTGTGCGGTGCAGGGAAGTGCTGTGTGGCGAATGGATGCCATTGTGGGTTGCGGTGGGTGGTGGAGGGAGAGGCCGTGGCCATGCGGGTGGGTTCCTCTCTCACTCCAGCCACATCTAACCGCACTTCGCCCCGTTGCTTCTGTTAGAGATAGGCTGCAATTCGGTTGGCACAATTTTGTGTGTTGACACTTTGTTGGTTTTAGGGATACTCATATTTGTTAGGTTGGGTGTAGCTATGTTTTCATCCCCAACCTATCCCAACCCAATCCATCCCAAATCCCCACGATTTGGGAGGATTCCCTTGGGATTCCCTCCGATTCTCCCTTATCCCTTCCCATCCTCTCCGATGCTCGGTACTTAAGCATGTATGCTCTTGCTCATTTCAATCAATCAAGTTCTCAGTTTCTGATAGCTTCATGTCTGGTGTGCCTTGCTTTCAACCCCCCTCCCCCGCCCCTCTTCACCCGCCTGGCCCCCGCAGGTGGTGCGTCTGGCAGTGGACGCCACGCTGAGGGCGGCAGCGCCGCTGCAGCGACTGAGGCGGGAACGAGCGCAGAGGGCGGGCGGCAGGGTGAGGCGCATCTACGTCACCAAGAGCGACCTCCGGAGGAAACTGCTGGCGCGCCGAGCTTCATCCCTGGTGGGTGCCCCGTCCCTGGTGGGTGCCCCGTCTCTGGTGGGTGCAGGGTTATTAGTGAGGGTGTGTGTGTGTGAGCGGGGAGAGGAGGGGGAGAGGCGTGTCAGCGCGTGCACATGTGCGCCGGAGAAGGTGGGGCAGAAGAAAGAGTGATTGTGGAGGGGAGAGGTTGCGGAGTGGCATGTCAGCGCGTGCACGTGTGCGCCCGAGAAGGTGCATTCTCTGGAGGGGAGAATGGCGGTGGTGTAACCGTGTGTCAGCCGTGCAGAGCGCCGCCTCGTGTGACTATTGGATGATTGTGTCACGTGGGAAGATGGCACGGCACACTGCTGCATGCCGATGCACGCCTGAACGGCCTTGCACTAATCATCTTCTGCCCTGCCCAGCATGGTTATGAGATGTACTGGGTGGTGTCTCGTTGCCACTCCTATGTTCCCTATAAGGGCGAGTCACAAGGATCTCCATGCTTCCATGGGTTATGTGGTCCCATGGTCACAAGGTCACATGGTCACAAGGTCACATGGTCAAAAGGTCACATGGTCACATGGTCACAAGGTCACATGGTCACATGGTCACATGGTCACATGGTCACATGGTCACATGGTCACATGGTCACATGGTCACATGGTCACACGGCCACATGGCAGTGGTCACAGGACTCATCTCCATCACTGCTCACCACGTCTCGCACCCCATCCGCACTCCCCCCAAGCACGTCCTCGTCATTGTGCACGCCACTGCCAGCATGCCGCTCAACAGCATGCAGCAAGCTACATGCTACGAAGCGTCCCTAATGATCTCTCGCATCGCACGCTCACTCCCTTGTGTCACGTGTTCCAGCCCCCCGCTCCTCCCAGGCCATCGTCACAGTGGACGCCAGAGGCGGCATGGCATGCAAAGGGGCTTTCTTGAGTGTCACTAGACGATTCCTTTGTGTCTCCCGCTTCTCTCGCTCTTCCCTCCCCACCACCATAACCATCAACCCCCCCGCAGGTCATCTTCATAGTGGAAGCCAGTGGCAGCATGGCACTCAGCGGCATGCAGCAAGCTACATGCTACGAAGCATGGCTAATAATCCAGCGCATCTCAGTCTCTCTCTTCTCTCTCGCCATCACCATCACCCCCATCCCCCCCATCACCCCCATCCCCCCCATCACCCATCCTCCCCCGGCAGGTCATCTTCATAGTGGACGCGAGTGGCAGCATGGCACTGAACCGCATGGGGGCGGCCAAGGGGGCAGCGCTGCAGCTGCTGGCGGAGAGCTACAGCAAGCGCGACAGCGTGGCTGTGGTGCCCTTCCACGACCTCCACGCTGACTTACTAGTGCCACCTTCTCGTGCCGTGGCTCTTGCTCACAAGCGGTGAGCGCCCTCACACCCTCACACCCTCACACCCTCCCTCACACCCTCACACCCTCACACCCTCACACCCTCACACCCTCCCTCACACCCTCACACCCTCACAAACTCACACCCTCCCTCACACCCTCCCTCACACCCTCACACCCTCACACCCTCTGACCCTCTGACCCACTTGCCCTCAGACCCTCTGCAGTTACTACCAGCGCGCGGCGCTGCAGCTGCTAGCAGCGAGTTACAGCGAGTGCGACATCGTGGCAGTAGTGCCCTTCCATGACTCCATCCCCTTCCATGACTCCATGCCCTTCCATGACTCCATGCCCTTCCATGACTCCATGCCCTTCCATGACTCCATGCCCTTCCATGCCTCCATCCCCTTCCATGACTCCATCCCCTTCCATGACTCCATGCCCCTCCATGACTCCATCCCCTTCCATGACTCCATCCCCTTCCATGACTCCATTCCCTTCCATGACTCCATGCCCTTCCATGACTCCATGCCCTTCCATCACTCCATGCCCTTCCATGACTCCATGCCCTTCCATGACTCCATGGCCTTCCATGACTCCATCCCCTTCCATGACTCCATCCCCTTCCATGACTCCATCCCCTTCCATGACTCCATGCCCTTCCATGACTCCATGCCCTTCCATGACTCCATCCCCTTCCATGACTCCATCCCCTTCCATGACTCCATCCCCTTCCATGACTCCATGCCCTTCCATGACTCCATGCCCTTCCATGACTCCATCCCCTTCCATGACTCCATCCCCTTCCATGACTCCATCCCCTTCCATGACTCCATGCCCTTCCATGACTCCATCCCCTTCCATGACTCCATCCCCTTCCATGACTCCATCCCCTTCCATGACTCCATGCCCTTCGACTCCATCCCCTTCCATGACTCCATCCCCTTCCATGACTCCATGCCCTTCCATGACTCCATCCCCTTCCATGACTCCATCCCCCTTCCATGACTCCATCCCCTTCCATGACTCCATCCCCTTCCATGACTCCATCCCCTTCCATGACTCCATGCCCTTCCATGACTCCATGCCCTTCAATGACTCCATGCCCTTCCATGACTCCATCCCCTTCCATGACTCCATGCCCTTCCATGACTTCATCCCCTTCCATGACTCCATCCCCTTCCATGACTCCATGCCCTTCCATGACTCCATCCCCTTCCATGACTCCATCCCCGTCCATGACTCCATCCCCGTCCATGACTCCTTCCCCTTCCATGACTCCATGCCCTTCCATGACTCCATGCCCTTCCATGACTCCATCCCCTTCCATGTCTCCATGCCCTTCCATGACTCCATGCCCTTCCATGACTCCATCCCCTTCCATGACTCCATCCCCTTCCATGACTCCATCCCCTTCCATGACTCCATGCCCTTCCATGACTCCATGCCCTTCCATGACTCCATCCTCTTCCATGACTCCATGCCCTTCCATGACTCCATCCCCTTCCATGACTCCATCCCCTTCCATGACTCCATGCCCTTCCATGACTCCATGCCCTTCCATGACTCCATGCCCTTCCATGACTCCATCCCCTTCCATGACTCCATCCCCTTCCATGACTCCATCCCCTTCCATGACTCCATGCCCTTTCCATACTCCATGACTCCTGCCCTTCCATGACTTCATCCCCTTCCATGACTCCATCCCCTTCCATGACTCCATGCCCTTCCATGACTCCATCCCCTTCCATGACTCCATCCCCGTCCATGACTCCATCCCCGTCCATGACTCCTTCCCCTTCCATGACTCCATGCCCTTCCATGAACTCCATGCCCTTCCATGACTCCATCCCCTTCCATGACTCCATCCCCTTCCATGACTCCATCCCCTTCCATGACTCCATGCCCTTCCATGACTCCATGCCCTTCCATGACTCCATCCCCTTTCCATGACTCCATCCCCTTCCATGACTCCATCCCTTCCATGACTCCATCCCCTTCCATGACTCCATGCCCTTCCATGACTCCATCCCCTTCCATGACTCCATCCCCTTCCATGACTCCATCCCCTTCCATGACTCCATGCCCTTCCATGACTCCATCCCCTTCCATGACTCCATCCCTTCCATGACTCCATCCCCTTCCATGACTCCATGCCCTTCCATGACTCCATCCCCTTCCATGACTCCATCCCCTTCCATGACTCCATGCCCTTCCATGACTCCATCCCCTTCCATGACTCCATCCCCTTCCATGACTCCATCCCCTTCCATGACTCCATCCCCTTCCATGACTCCATCCCTTCCATGACTCCATGCCCTTCCATGACTCCATGCCCTTCAATGACTCCATCCCTTCCATGACTCCATCCCTTCCATGACTCCATGCCCTTCCATGACTTCCATCCCCTTCCATGACTCCATCCCCTTCCATGACTCCATGCCCTTCCATGACTCCCAATCCCCTTCCATGACTCCATCCCCGTCCATGACTCCATCCCCGTCCATGATCCTCCCCTCCATGACTCCATGCCCCTTTCCATGACTCCATGCCCTTCCAGACTCCATCCCCTTCCATGTCTCCATGCCCTTCCATGACTCCATGCCCTTCCATGACTCATCCCCTTCCATGACTCCATCCCCTTCATGACTCCATCCCCTTCCATGACTCCATGCCCTTCCATGACTCCATGCCCTTCCATGACTCCATCCTCTTCCATGACTCCATGCCCTTCCATGACTCCATCCCCTTCCATGACTCCCATCCCCTTCCATGACTCCATGCCCTTCCATGACTCCATGCCCTTCCATGACTCCATTCCCCTTCCATGACTCCATCCCCTTCCATGACCTTTTTCCCATGCCCTTCCATGACTCCATCCCCTTCCATGACTCCATGCCCTTCCATGACTCCATCCCCTTCCATGACTCCATGCCCTTCCATGACTCCATCCCCTTCCATGACTCCATCCCCTTCCATGACTCCATGCCCTTCCATGACTCCATGCCCTTCCATGACTCCATGCCCTTCCATGACTCCATCCCCTTCCATGACTCCATCCCCTTCCATGACTCCATCCCCTTCCATGACTCCATGCCCTTCCATGACTCCATCCCCTTCCATGACTCCATCCCCTTCCATGACTCCATCCCCTTCCATGACTCCATGCCCTTCCATGACTCCATCCCCTTCCATGACTCCATCCCCTTCCATGACTCCATGCCCTTCCATGACTCCATCCCCTTCCATGACTCCATGCCCTTCCATGACTCCATCCCCTTCCATGACTCCATCCCCTTCCATGACTCCATCCCTTCCATGACTCCATGCCCTTCCATGACTCCATCCCCTTCCATGACTCCATCCCCTTCCATGACTCCATCCCCTTCCATGACTCCATGCCCTTCCATGACTCCATCCCTTCCATGACTCCATCCCCTTCCATGACTCCATCCCCTTCCATGACTCCATCCCCTTCCATGACTCCATCCCTTCCATGACTCCATGCCCTTCCATGACTCCATCCCCTTCCATGACTCCATCCCCTTCCATGACTCCATGCCCTTCCATGACTCCATGCCCTTCCATGACTCCATCCCCTTCCATGACTCCATCCCCTTCCATGACTCCATCCCCTTCCATGACTCCATGCCCTTCCATGACTCCATCCCCTTCCATGACTCCATCCCCTTCCATGACTCCATGCCCTTCCATGACTCCATCCCCTTCCATGACTCCATCCCTTCCATGACTCCATCCCCTTCCATGACTCCATCCCTTCCATGACTCCATCCCCTTCCATGACTCCATCCCCTTCCATGACTCCATGCCCTTCCATGACTCCATCCCCTTCCATGACTCCATCCCTTCCATGACTCCATCCCCTTCCATGACTCCATGCCCTTCCATGACTCCATCCCCTTCCATGACTCCATCCCTTCCATGACTCCATCCCCTTCCATGACTCCATCCCCTTCCATGACTCCATCCCTTCCATGACTCCATCCCCTTCCATGACTCCATGCCCTTCCATGACTCCATCCCCTTCCATGACTCCATCCCCTTCCATGACTCCATCCCCTTCCATGACTCCATCCCCTCATCCCATGACTCCATCCCCTTCCATGACTCCATGCCCTTCCATGACTCCATCCCCTTCCATGACTCCATCCCCTTCCATGACTCCATCCCCTTCCATGACTCCATGCCCTTCCATGACTCCATCCCCTTCCATGACTCCATCCCCTTCCATGACTCCATCCCCTTCCATGACTCCATGCCCTTCCATGACTCCATCCCCTTCCATGACTCCATCCCCTTCCATGACTCCATGCCCTTCCATGACTCCATCCCCTTCCATGACTCCATGCCCTTCCATGACTCCATCCCCTTCCATGACTCCATCCCCTTCCATGACTCCATCCCCTTCCATGACTCCATCCCCTTCCATGACTCCATGCCCTTCCATGACTCCATCCCCTTCCATGACTCCATCCCCTTCCATGACTCCATGCCCTTCCATGACTCCATGCCCTTCCATGACTCCATCCCCTTCCATGACTCCATCCCCTTCCATGACTCCATCCCCTTCCATGACTCCATCCCCTTCCATGACTCCATGCCCTTCCATGACTCCATCCCCTTCCATGACTCCATCCCCTTCCATGACTCCATCCCCTTCCATGACTCCATCCCCTTCCATGACTCCATCCCCTTCCATGACTCCATGCCCTTCCATGACTCCATGCCCTTCCATGACTCCATCCCCTTCCATGACTCCATCCCCTTCCATGACTCCATCCCCTTCCATGACTCCATGCCCTTCCATGACTCCATCCCCTTCCATGACTCCATCCCCTTCCATGACTCCATCCCTTCCATGACTCCATCCCCTTCCATGACTCCATGCCCTCCCCTTCCATGACTCCATCCCCTTCCATGACTCCATCCCCTTCCATGACTCCATCCCCTTCCATGACTCCATCCCCTTCCATGACTCCATGCCCTTCCATGACTCCATCCCCTTCCATGACTCCATCCCCTTCCATGACTCCATCCCTTCCATGACTCCATGCCCTTCCATGACTCCATCCCCTTCCATGACTCCATGCCCTTCCATGACTCCATCCCTTCCATGACTCCATCCCCTTCCATGACTCCATGCCCTTCCATGACTCCATCCCCTTCCATGACTCCATCCCCTTCCATGACTCCATCCCCTTCCATGACTCCATCCCCTTCCATGACTCCATCCCCTTCCATGACTCCATCCCTTCCATGACTCCATCCCCTTCCATGACTCCATCCCCTTCCATGACTCCATCCCTTCCATGACTCCATGCCCTTCCATGACTCCATCCCCTTCCATGACTCCATGCCCTTCCATGACTCCATCCCCTTCCATGACTCCATCCCCTTCCATGACTCCATCCCCTTCCATGACTCCATCCCTTCCATGACTCCATGCCCTTCCATGACTCCATCCCTTCCATGACTCCATCCCCTTCCATGACTCCATCCCCTTCCATGACTCCATCCCCTTCCATGACTCCATGCCCTTCCATGACTCCATCCCTTCCATGACTCCATCCCCTTCCATGACTCCATCCCCTTCCATGACTCCATGCCCTTCCATGACTCCATCCCCTTCCATGACTCCATCCCTTCCATGACTCCATGCCCTTCCATGACTCCATCCCTTCCATGACTCCATCCCCTTCCATGACTCCATGCCCTTCCATGACTCCATCCCCTTCCATGACTCCATCCCTTCCATGACTCCATGCCCTTCCATGACTCCATCCCCTTCCATGACTCCATCCCCTTCCATGACTCCATCCCTTCCATGACTCCATCCCTTCCATGACTCCATCCCCTTCCATGACTCCATGCCCCTTCCATGACTCCATCCCCTTCCATGACTCCATCCCCTTCCATGACTCCATCCCTTCCATGACTCCATCCCTTCCATGACTCCATCCCCTTCCATGACTCCATGCCCTTCCATGACTCCATCCCCTTCCATGACTCCATCCCCTTCCATGACTCCATCCCCTTCCATGACTCCATCCCTTCCATGACTCCATCCCCTTCCATGACTCCATCCCTTCCATGACTCCATCCCCTTCCATGACTCCATCCCCTTCCATGACTCCATCCCCTTCCATGACTCCATGCCCTTCCATGACTCCATCCCCTTCCATGACTCCATCCCTTCCATGACTCCATCCCCTTCCATGACTCCATGCCCTTCCATGACTCCATCCCCTTCCATGACTCCATCCCTTCCATGACTCCATGCCCTTCCATGACTCCATCCCCTTCCATGACTCCATGCCCTTCCATGACTCCATCCCTTCCATGACTCCATCCCCTTCCATGACTCCATCCCTTCCATGACTCCATCCCTTCCATGACTCCATCCCCTTCCATGACTCCATCCCCTTCCATGACTCCATCCCCTTCCATGACTCCATGCCCTTCCATGACTCCATCCCCTTCCATGACTCCATCCCCTTCCATGACTCCATCCCCTTCCATGACTCCATCCCTTCCATGACTCCATGCCCTTCCATGACTCCATCCCCTTCCATGACTCCATCCCCTTCCATGACTCCATCCCCTTCCATGACTCCATCCCTTCCATGACTCCATGCCCTTCCATGACTCCATCCCCTTCCATGACTCCATCCCTTCCATGACTCCATCCCCTTCCATGACTCCATCCCTTCCATGACTCCATCCCTTCCATGACTCCATCCCCTTCCATGACTCCATCCCCTTCCATGACTCCATC